CCATGCAGGGAAAACACTCATACACATAAAATAAAAATAAAATCTTTTTTAAAAAAGTTAAGTAATGGTAGCTTCTATATTCCATCCTAGTTCAATCTACTGAACACTTACAAGGTATGAAAGGCATCCCATTCAAGTGAGTTCTGCATATCTGCTCCTGTCTCTTGATATAAGGTCCATTGTCATTCCTAGTTCATACATGAGGGAACTGAAATATAGGGAGGCTAAGAGACAGGCCAGTACATCAGGTCAGGGACAGGCAGAACATTTGAACACAAGCTGTTTGACAGCAAACAGTGAGGTTGCTAAGTCTGCAGTAAGAAAGTATCACAAACTGGGTGCCTTAAAATAAGTCAGACTAGGAGTGGGGGGATTTGGAGAAATGGCTCTGTGGTTAAAAACACTGCTTACTCTTTTTAAAAAAATATTATTTTTATTTTATGTGTATGAGTGTATTGCCTGCATGTGTTCAAGTGTACCCGTGTTGTGCAGTGCTCACAGAGGTCAGAAGAGGGTGCTGGATTCCCCTGGAACTGGAGTTACAGATGGTTTAGCTGCCACGTGGGTACTAGGAATTGAACCCCGGTCCTGTGCAAGAGCAGCTGGTGCTCTTAGCTGCTGAGCCATCTCTCCAGTCCCTGAAAGCACTGGCTATTCTTATAGAAGACCGGGGTTCAGTTCCCAATCCATGGGCATTGTGTGCATGTGATACATTTACATGCATTCAAGCAAAACACTCATACACATAAAACAAAAACAAATTTTAAAAATCAGGCCAGAGCCAGGTGTGGTGGCACATGCCTTTAGTCCCAGCACTTGGGAGGCAGAGGCAGGCAGATCTATGTGAGTTCGAGGCCAGCCTGGTCTACATAGTGAGTTCCAGGACAGTGGAGGCTATAGGGAGACTCTGTCTCAAAAGTACCAAAAAAAAAAAAAAAAAAAAAAAAAAAAAAAAAAATCAGACCAGTGGTGTAGCTCAGTGACAGAGCACTGAGTGAGTTCCATTCCCGGTACTGCAAAAATAATAGAAATATACTCTCACTGTTCTGGAGGTTGGACATCTGAAACCAAGCTGTCAGCAGGGTTGGTTCTTTTTTGGAAGCTCAGCAGGAGAGTACTCTATACCCCCTTCCTAGCTCCTGGTATAGGTATAAATCCTTGGTATTTCTGTTAATAGCTATGGCACTCAAACCTCTAACTCTATTGTTACTTCTCCTTGTTCTCTCCCCCCCCTTTCTCTCTCCTCCCCTTTGCTCTCTCTTCTTTGTGACAAGGTATCATATATCCTAGGCTGGCTTCCAACTCACTACATAGCAGAGGCTGGCCTTGAACTTCTGATCTTCCTTCCTCCACCCCAAGGTGACACATGTAATGGGGCGTTAAGGATGGAATCCAGGCCTTTATGTGCTAGGAAAGCACTCTACTCAAAGGGCTACAACCTCTGCCTTCTGTGTGAAGACAGTGATCAGTGACTGAATTTGGAACCACTCTGATCCAGTATCTTGTTCCATCTGCAGAGACCTTACTTCCAAATAAGGGTACATTTCCAGGCCGTCTTGCATTTTGGGGGAGGACATGATTTGGTCTACACTGCTGAGCTCCTGCACAGAAACTACAGGATGCTGTCCTGTGGATACACAATGTGTATCTGTGTCAGAGCCAGGACTACTACCTTGCCTAGTAGACAGCACATGCTCAGGGGGAAGGCTGAAATGGAGGAGTTAGGCTCCATCCAGCTCCTCCCTAAGGGGACCACCCAGGATGTGTGGGCAAGGCAAAAGGGCATTTTTCATGGCTGCAAGGCACGCACAGCTCTCCCTGCAGCATGGTTTCAATCACTTTGACAGCAAAACTTCAGGCTTCAAATCTGGGCTGAAGATGCTTTGTTTTTCTTGCTAATCAAGACTCTTGCTTTTGGTACATGGGAACAAAGGTTTCAGCAGTCACAGCTAAAAAGGTTGTTAAGAGCTCCTGGAAGACATTATGTAACTTCTCTCTGGAAATGGAGCAAGGTAAATGAGATATACTCACTTGGTCAGCAGGATTCTCCCAGCTGTGGGGCCATGCATCCTTCAGTTTTCTAGAAGAGACAAGAGAATCATGGAATATTTAAGTGCTTTGTCATTGCTAAGTAATGTGGGACTGCAAACTCAGGAGAGTTAGTGTAAGTAGGAGCTGAACCAAGGCCATGCACTCTACCTTGGCATTCACTGGAAGGCAGGCACGTCCATCTCGATCGGGGCTCCCCCTGCAGCAGTTTTTGGCACCCCAGGGAATTCAATGCTTCAGGGACCAGATAGCAGGCCATCACTGTGAGCAGACTGATAGAAACTGGCCCTGTCTCATGTTTTGGCACATAAAGAGAATGCATTTAAACCAACATGCATCCATTTGGTGATACTTGAAATGTACTTTGTTTTCCCCCAGGGTTCTCATGAAACACTGCCTGCACATTTAAGCAATTCATGCTTCTGAGGCCAAGCAAACAAAATTGCCAAAGCACAACAGTTTCCAGGTTTCTCTTAGGAAGAAATTTTCCTTTGGTATTTTAGCAATGGATTCAGTTACTAGAAACCCAAGTGCAAGGTTAGAGGCACCATGTGCTCTGTTAACACTGCCCTTCACCTTGTGGGCTTCTGCCCCAGGGCTGGCCACACAGACTCTTTTTCTTGGGGCAGACTGAAGTTTCTGAAGTGTGACTCAGGCTGGAGACTGGGGCTAGGCAGAAGACTGTATTGTTTCTAGTCTGTTTTCTCCTTGGGAGAGAGTTTTCTTCCTAATCTCCATCCCTCAGCTTTTTTAAAAAAATTTTATTTATTATTTTTATATGTTTGAGTGTATTGCCCGCATGTGCATAAGTACACCGGCATCGTGCAATGCCTGTGGAGGTCAGTTCCCCTGGAATTGGAGTTATGGACGGTTGTTAGTCGCCATGTGGATGCTGGGAATTGAACCCAGGTCCTATGTAAGAGCAGTCAGTGCTCTTAACCACTGAGCCTTCTTTCCAGCCCCGAATCTCTCAGCTTTTATGACTTCAGGTGAAGTTCCCTCAACTGTCCCAAGTTGGGTCTCTGGATCTCTTCTTATTCTGTCACTTCTTCCTTTCTGGGTTTGTTCACTTCACAGCTTCTATACAGGCAACTACAGAATTCCAGCACCAACCTCCTTTAGAAAGGAGCGGGGACAGGGCCCAATGTCCAGCTGTAGGCCATATCCCAAAGAATACTTTTCTTCTTTTCAGGTCTAAGGATTGAAGTTAGGTCCTTGCTTGTGCTAGTCAAGTTTTCTACAAGTGAGCTGTTTCCCCAGCCATTTAAAAACTTTGAGACAGGGTCTCACAAAGTTGCCTAGACTGGCCTTGAACTTACTTACTCTGTAGCCCAGACAAGCCTGGAACTTTTGATCCTCCTGCCTCAACTTCCCTGCTGAATAGCTGAGATGATAGACCTGTACCACCAGGCCCAGTCCCAAATGTAACATTTTGAAAATGAACTGTTTGTGGATTCTGTTCTTCCCACTGAAAACACCTTGGGTAATGTGTTTTTCTGTCCTCTGAGCTCACAGGCTGTGCAGTTCAGCCCCAGTTCTCTATTTTCAGGGCTACCCTTCTTGTAGGCCAGTTGCCATCAGCCTATTGCAGCATCTGCCTTAAAGGAGTCAGTCCTCTTCTAGAATAGAGATGATGACTTCTTAGGCAGTAGGAGCCCTTTCCTTCATATTTTTTTTATGTTTTAGCCACAATGAGTGTAATCTGTTGCCTTCTGGGGCTTTCCTGAGAATCTGTTCCCTGGGATGCCCAAGTTCCACTGGCTATGTCACCAAATTCCAGGCTCTGTAAGCTGCCACATCCCCTTCCCATCTTGCTGAGACCTCACTATACTTTGGGACTTGTGGCACATGGACACAAAGGTACTGGGATTAGCTGCAAGCTACCTGAGTCCTGGGATCAGGTGCCTGGTGCATCTACTATCTGTGGATGCACGTGGCCTCTGTGCCCCTGGACCTGAGCCCTGGGCCACTTCTGGCCCTTTACAGCATTGCTTTCCCCATTCTTCTTGTAATCAGATGCAGGCAATGCATCTGGCACAGAAAGAACTACCTGCCTCCCCCCTACCCCCACTGATTGCAAGCAAAAGCCAATTTCCAAGATCTGGGTCAACATCAATTTAGAATTCTTTCTGGTAGTTAGAAAAAATTCTTTGAAAAAGCATATAACTTTTTTCAATTTGGGAAAAGTTTGAAAGGTATAGCCTTTCAAGGCCACAGGATACTTTCACACACACACACACACACACACTCCATACTCAAAACCAGCCTGGGTTTATGTAGTTCAATCCTGTCAAGCTAATCTAATCTTTTGTGACAGAGCAGCAGACCCAGTAGATCCAAGGGAGTGACAATAGTTGGAGTTTATCTTGCTGGCTTCAGAACTTTTGATTTCTGGGTCCTACTCAATATAATTATCATTCATTAAACTGGTTGAAAGGTTAGAGACACTAGAGCTAGTGCTGGCTGGAGACTGAAGTGGGGCTCCCCCAGGGGATCAGCCTTGTGCCTGGTGGCCCTGGGCACTCACACGAGCAGGCCAGATGATAGAAAAGAGAACTCATGGCCAGCACTACTGTCAAGGTGTCGGGGTACAGGGGGCACAAAAGGAATGGTGGGTGGGGGTGGGCTTGGGTATAGAAGATTAACCCGCCAGAGAAATAACCTTGCAATCACAAAGGTGATCATACAAATATCTGTAGGCTTGACCAGAAGAGATTTCACTTTTAGGGAAAACAACACAGACACACACTAGTCAGCAAAGGAACATCGCACTAAGAATATGGTACTAGGTGAAGACACAGCATGTAGGTCTCCTGCAGTCCTTAACTTGTGTGAACACTATCCCCTTCCAAACTCTGGTAGGTAACTATGGGAAAGACATTCTGAACAGCATTCAAGAGAGCCAGAAGTAATTAAATTGGGCTGGGACACAGGAATGAAAGACAAAAAAGTTAAATGAATTAGGTTTATTGAACTTGGAGATGGACCACTTTATAAGGGCAAAAACAACAATAACAACAACCAAAAACCCAAAAAACAAAAATAGAAATAGATTATTTCAACACATGAAGACAAAATTAAAAGTGAAGAAGAGCTTTCTTGGCTTTAAGGTGGGTATCTGGGCCATTAAATTGGATTTCTCTGGGATGTTTTTTGTGTGCTCCAGGCTAGCTGGGAAGAGATCTGGATATCCTGAACACAGCTGTCCCAACTCCACAGTCATGACAATATCTCAAAGCACTTATTTAAATCCACAATTGAAAATTAAGTGGCAGCCTATGTCTCCACTGTTACAATGCCCTCAAGGTGTGGTTATAAAGAGAAGTTCAAACACACAATGAAGCTCTTCCTTAAGACCAGCATTGAGAGTATCAGCTGTGAGCCAGGATCTTTCCTGAATGTGGGATCCTTGAACAGCAGCACAGCCAAATAACACAAGCAATGTGACTCTTTCTGCTTCCCCATTGTAAGCAAGCTCTTTGATTCTCTTTTAGATTTATTTGTATTCATGTGTGCATGTGTATGGATACCCTTAGAAGGCAGAAGGCAGCACTGGATCCCTTGCAGCCATATAGGTGGTTGTGAGTCACCTCATGTGGGTGCTAGGACTTGAACTCTGGCTCTCTGGAAAAGCAGAAAATGCTCTTAACCACTGGGCCATCTTTCCAGCCCTATAAGCAAGCTCTTAATGAACTACCTACTGTAGGCAGATGTTAACACTGGAGACTGGAGTACAAGGTACCACACCCATGCTTTTTATTTGTTCCCAAATGGTATTCCATTCAAACATTTTTCTTTGACTAAATCAAGATAGGGCATGGGGAGAAACAAAAGCAACCCACAATAATTTTCCTCACAATGTTGTTGTCAACTAACAATCACACAGTTATGTAAGTTAATCCTTTAAGTTTAATTAATCAATCCTTTATAAAACTTCCCAATTAGTAAAAGTTGGCTTATTTTAATAGCATTAAACATTGGTCACTATTTAAACAAGACATTCTAAAAAAAAAAGGCAATCACATAATAGTTCATAGTAATTTACAAGTGGATGGTGCACATTTAGATACAGAGGTAGAAATTCACTTTTACAATGTTTCACTAATACACATATACCAAATTCAAGGCACAAAATAGTTTGCTTTACAAAAAAATACTGTAAAAATGTCATTTGCTGTTCTACAATGTGAATAATCTTTCAAAGGAATCTTTACCCTTTCCACACATACTCTATACTGTAAAATTTGTCCCTGTCACTAATCAGAGTTGGCACAAATATGGGGACTTTTTAATGCAGAAATTCCCATTCTCAGAAACTGTTCCTTTGCAGAGCTGCTATGCTTTCTAGATGACAGTCCACCCATGAACATGAATGCAGCAGCTCCCCAAGGAAAGGACACTTTCTATATGCAGCAAAATCCATGGTAGAAAACATAATTGTTTGGGTCATCAGGTCTCTAGACACTTAGCCAAGTATTTCATAGATTAAATTTAGAAACCAACTAATATTTTAGTCATTGCAAGTTTAAAAAAGAGCTGATGGCCTTCACTGTGCTATTCAGCACTGACTCAAACTGATGGAGGTTGAAAACTTCCTCTTTAAAAGAGCTAAAAACATGGAGATCATGAACAAGCCACCCAGGATCGCAGAAGGGAACCCAGAACACAACAAAATACAGCACTCTGAGTCCTTGAAGGTGTAAGGATGTCAGTTAGTCAGACTCATGACAAGAATGAATGAACTCTGTGGGAATTCAGAAAAATCATACACATGAAACATACTGCAATTAACATTTCTAGACTTTCTGTTCATTAAAGAAATAATGATAGCCCAAAGATGTTACATAGTGCTTGTGTAAGGTTTGGACTCGGTTTTAGGGTTCTGTCTAAAAAGATCCCGTTGGCAACAACCTAAGCTCACACTTCCCAAGTATTCTAGGTCAGTTAATTTATGCTTTATTATTATTTTTTTAAAAAAGTTGATTAGAAAAAAAAGTCAACATGGGGTTAGAATCCAGAGAATGTCAGTACTGCTAATGTGCGCGGACTGAACCATCCTGTTTGTCTTCTGATAGAAATGGCACTCCATACAAAGACTCTTAGATTCCATTTTTCGCTTCATTATTGTTTGTGGCCTGCTTTCTTTGAGCAATAAAGGGATACATACACTTGTCCGCTCCGAGGAACCGATACATGCACACAACTGCTTCAAAAGGAAGGATGCTGGAAAGGAAAGGCACAATTAGGAAATGGCAAGGCTTGTGCTCATTCAGGTCTGGGGCAGGCAGGGCAGGGGCCCTCCATTACCTCTTCATGAAGGTCACGATGTACATGAGGCGGGGGGTGCAGATCATGGGCTGGTCAGTGAGTATGGCCCTCATAGCCTGCTTCACGCAGTAATCAGGCTTCAGAGGGGGCAAAAAGGACTCAATCTCCTTCCTGAAAATTAAATGTTCAAAAAATGAAATTAAGAATCAGCACAAGAAGAAGACGGACACGTCAAGAACACCAAGATATTATCTGAGGGACAAGATTTGGGGTACATTTTTTTCTCTTGTTTTCTCCATTTTTGTCTTTTTGAGACAGGGTCTTCCTGTAACCCCAGCTAGCCTGGAGCTCCCTATGGAGACCAGGCTGGCCTCAGTCTCACAGAGATCTGTCTGATTGCACTTCTTAAGTGCTGGGATTAAAGGCATGTGCCATCACATCTGCCACATTTTGTTTCTTTTATGGTGGTTTCTTTTTTAGACACCAAATTTTCCTAGATAAACGCATTTTATTTGATCATCTAGTAAATAAATTAGGAGAAAATAAGCAAAATTGGATGACTTTACTGTAAAATGGGGAAATTACGGTTGTTGAGATGTCTTACAAGATACATTCAAATTATTCTATTTTCTTTGAATAGAAAAAGGAAGTACTTGTCAACACAAACACTAAACTTCAACAAGAGAATCAGCTTTTATTAGATGTGGCTAAAATAAGTGTGTGTAGACATGGACATAACCTTTTCTAGTGAAGTAACTGTCAGCACTACACTTTTAAACACTGGCTGGGGACAGCTAAGGTATATGCCCAGGAGTATCTGAAGCACAGACTCCTACCTTCGTGTTAATTTATGAAGTTACATGTTAAATATACAACAATGCCACTTCTTTTTATTCTTTGTTGTAGCAGCACAGCTTTGGAACCCTGTATGTGCCACTGTACCAAACAGCAAATGGAGCTCGTGAGGACCTTGGCAACTGGTTCCTATGCTAAACCAAGCTAACAATGGCACAGGCACACAGGCTGGTGGTACACACAAAAGCAAGAGGGAAAGCTAGAGTTCTGATTTGTTTTCTCTCTCTTTTTTCTTTCCTTTTGGTGCTGAGGATCAAATCCAGGGTCTGGCACATGCTAACCACATGCTCCAACACTGAGCCACATCTCTAGGCCCTAGAGTTAATTTCTCAGTCCAGTCATGGTGCCAGCTGCAGGCTGGAATGACTCAAAGTACCCTCCACCTACTCTATCACTCGTCTAGCTCAGTATGTGTAAAGAACAGCCCCTAACCAACAGGTAACTAGCTGGACCATTGTCCTTTGCCTTGCAAATTCACCCAAGCCAGCATGTCTTCACAAGCATCCTCCTGCTGTGTTTACTCTGCTGAGCTGCATTAGGTCAAACCTGATGTTTACATTTTCACATGACTCCTTCCTAAGTGTGTGTGGATATTTCATTTCATTTCATTTTCAGTAAATCTAAATGGTTCTCATCCCATTAGGATGAATCTAGCTATATACACTTGCTGAAAAAAAAAAAAAGAAGCTTCCAAATCTGGAGTCTGATAGTCAGTCTTTAGTAGATGAAAGACATGCTAGTCCTCTTTGACAGTGACATTGCTTCATTTCCAAATTAAAATCACATTAAGGACTTTTCTTTTGGCCTGGAACTTACTATGTAGACCAGCCTGGTTTCAAACTTGCATCAATCTTCCTGTCTCTCCCAGGAAGTACTGTGGGATCACAGATGTGCGGCTCCATACTCAGCTAAGGTTTACTGTCAGGTGACAGTTAAAGTACAAGGCTGACTCTTTGAAGACCAATTCTATACATCCTCCTAATGTTGTATCAATAATAAGACAGGTTTCCACTGACCTGATTCGGCAGCCTCTAAACATGCCTGTATCTACAAGGTAAGGGCAAACCAAGGTTGTTTTAATTCCATCCTTTTCAGCAGCCTTTAGTTCATGGCTCAGAGATTCATGAAAACCTACAACTCCAAATTTACTGGCACAGTAATCCTGAGTTAGAGGAAAGAGAACAGAAATGTTAAGTATATGCCCAAGTCCCCAACCAACCTGAAGCTCCCTTGGTCCTGCTTAGTTAGATGTTTGTTACAAAAGGTTATAGGGAACCAAGCAAAGAAAAGGGAGCTGTTTTAAGAGACATATATCTGATGTGGTTCAGTGCAGAAATAATATTTTCAAAGCAACTACAAAAACAGATGAACACTTTTTGCCACATCAACTAAATATCATATTACTTCGGGGGAAGTCACCACAAAGGAGTCTATGAAAGCTAACAGGCTGGAGTGAACAGTGCAGAGAGCTTCCCTTTGAAGTGCCTGGAAAATTTACAAATGGGCTCTTGTTTAGTGAAGGAGACCGAAAAACCTGTTTGTTTAAATTAATGCAAGAAGAACAAAGACAAGTCTAGCTTAGGCTATAAGTTATTATGATCTGACATTCAAATGAAAATAACCACCACATCTTGTGAACTTGAACTAGAACTTAAGGGTATATGATACAGAAACATTTACATATTTGCATGGAGTGATGTTTTCAATTTTCTAGGCATCTGTAGGACAAATAGTGCAGAACAATGTATGTACAGATGCTTTCTAATTTCAACAGGGCTTGATGAAGCCCAGATCTACAGAATTACAGAGCACCTGCCACTGGCCAGAAGCACTTCATCTGATGAGCTAGCAGCTGAGCTAGCAGCAGGCAGTGTACTTGTGGCTCGTTGGCCAAAACAGAAAGTGACTCTCTGGCCTCAATATCTGCTTCTCTTGGCACTGCCATGTCACTTTGTGGGCCCATTCTTGACTCTGTGCCTTCCACCACCAAGCAAGACTGCTAATGAAAATGGGTACCCTGAGGACTGGTCCATCTACTTCTATGCTACTGATAATTTGTTGAACTGGCAATGGTAATTTTAGGGTAGAAAGGGGAGCTTTCTTCTCCACATCTGGTCTTGTTGGCAGCCTTTAGGAAGGTGTGGTAACAAGTCCTCTTGTGATATGTTCATTGCAAGATGAACTGAGTCGACAAAGGAAACACTTTACATCTGACAAACCTCAACTCCAGCAGTGCTGAACAAGCCCAGGGAACTTGCAACTGTCACAATATGGCCATGATTAATCTCCAGCATTGTCGGAAGAAAGGCCTTAGTGGTCTGAAAGAAAAGTAAGATGCAAGCTTTAGAACTGACATTCCACATTTCCTCTAAAACCCAGGATCACAGAGCAAACTCTGAGCCGTACAAAATCACATTTCCCATTCATTTAGAAATACCTTATGTTTATCAAAAAGAGAAGCTCCTTTAAGTATCTAGTTAACTTAGTACCGTATCATCGGCATGGCAAGCCTATTATAAGCCGTGACCAACAAGGCTGTAACACAAGAGCTTTGGGGGATGATGATCAGAGATGAAAAGAAAGTCATTAGTAGAAGGCTCTTTATCACCTTTCAAGCGCTAGTGATCTGCTAATCAGGACCACTCCTGGGTCAGGGGCCTTTTTATGCTCATGACACTTCTGTGCAGCCGTGTCCTGGTCTGTGAGGGATGCCAGCTTATCCACCAGCAGGTGCCTCAGATTGACATTTTTCTTATGGCCACATGTCCATAGAGAGCCGTGAATGAAGATCCATTCTAGCCCTCTGCTGCCGCACCCAAGGTGACATCAAAGTAGACTACCAAAGTAGAGGTGAGGTATTTTAGGAGCTAGAAACCATTAAAGCACAGGACCATTTTAATGAGAAAACATACCACAATGTGAATGCTGCACTGCTGGAAACGTGTAGCATTCTGAAGGCTCGCACTCCATTGTAGGGTGCCTGGAGAGCCTCTCCCACAAAGGCAGAAGCCCAACCACTCAGGATGGCAGGCTACAGGGTAGGTTCATGGGCAAAATCAGAGGAGGCACTGACTTCTACACTAAACTCCCTTTCCCCTCCCAACTCCTGTCTTCAAAATACAAGGCTGTATTTAAACACCAACCAAAAAATCCTTCAAATTGCTTAAGATGATCTATTAGCTAGTCTACTAGGCTCCCAACAGTTTTATAACCTGCTTCTTAAAAGAAAGCAGCAAAGAGCAATCTGTCTACTGTTGAGTTATGGTCTATTGCCAGCACTGCTCCCTGTGATTTATGAAGTTAAAAAACAAAACACTACACAGCAGACTTGAAGAAAAGTTGCATTCCTTCTTAGATGTTTCCTGGCTAAGGTATCACAGAGTCTAAGCATGAATTTCTAGTGTGTTAGGATAACTTTTGTGCACACAAGATCAAAAACAGTGATCCCATTAATTCTGAAGTTTTCCACACTCCAATTCATGGAAGCCAGATGAATCTTTGTCAAGTGTCTCAGTGTCTTCCCCAGTCTGTCTGGGGTCATCACATAGCACCCTATCCCCCAACTCACATCCCACCTGTCTGGATCTCCTTGCTGGAACCTGTGCCATGCTTATTCTCATCTCCCCTCATTCCTGTTTTGTATAACCCAAATGAGGATATTATTATGCATTTCTATAGTTGATTTTTAAAATTTATTTTTATTATGTGTATGCATGTTTTGCCTGCATGTATTTAAGTGTGCTCTTGTCATTCAATGCCCATGGAGGTCAGTTCCCTTGGAACTGGAATTACAGACGGTTTTTAGCTGCCATATAGGTGCTGGGAACCAAACCAGGTCCTCTGCAAGAGCAATCAGTGCTCTTAACTGCTGAGCCATCTCTCCAGCCCCTTTTATAGTTTTTAAGTGATTTTGAACTGTTTTATTAATTACATCACTGGAATCTCTATTAATTTGGTCTTACTAATTTATTTTTTAATTTTTAAAAATGCCAGAAGTGTTTCTCTATAGAGCTTGAATCCCAATCTTAGCAGAGACTCCATAGGCAACAGGAAAGCTTGTGGCATTAAAATATTCATTTACACCGTGCAACTTCCAGCAGTGGTCTCACTTCTGGGCAAGCTTACAAACCATACAAGGTTGGAAGCATAATTTACACGGGTGTAAGACTCAAGTAAGAGAAAGGAAAAGGAAAAAGAGAGAAAATCTCTGGGAACTAAGAGCTCTTACATCTGGAAGGCTGGAAGAACCTAGACTTTGAAATAGTGTCTTGATTTCACTGTTTTTATTTTTTATTTTTTATTTTTAAAACTAAAGCTACACAGCTTATGGATTAAATAAAATAAATTTCTAAATTAAAAAAATCCAGTACTTCTTTAATAAAGGTACTTTGGCCTTTCGTGGGTGGTATTGGGGATTAGACCTAGAGCCTCATGTAGTAAGCACAACACTGAAGTACAGCCCTGGGTCAGGCTGTCTAGTATTATTCTAGACCAGTTTAACTTTATCTACATTTCTTGAAGATGTATAGTCCACACCATTCACTTTAACATATCATTATATATTTTACACAGGGTTTTTATTTTTTTATACCTATTTGTCTAGATATCTCAGACAAGCTGGGAGACACAATCAATCTTTCAAATACTGGGACAGAATCGCTCCACTGTGACAGGGGCTGCAGAGGAAAGCCTGTAGGCTCTTGAAGTGCATGGGCCCAACACATCAGTGCTGTCAGAAACACCAGTGTTTCAAGTCCATTGTGTTTCTTTGTAGCAAACAGTAACAGGGCAATTATGCCATTAGTTATTATTTTGGTCCATCTGATACCCAAAAAGAATTGGTATTTCACGTCATTTATAGGCTCAGTTTCAGGCTACAGAACTTACTTGCAGTTATTATAACACAGAACTGAAATAAAGCCATTTTCAAAGGAGCATACATATTCCAAACTAAACTAACCTTAAGTAATCAAGTCTGTAAGAGTCTCTACATCGTCTAAGTATCTAGTTAAGATTAATGTTTGTAGAGTACTTAAAAAGTATAAAGCTTATTAGCTTTGCTCATTTAAAAATTTTTGCGTGTTTGGGGCTGGAGAGATGGCTCAGTGATTAAGAGCACTGGCTGCTCTTGCAGAGGACCTGGGTTCAATTCCCAGAACCCACATGGCAGCTAACAACTGCCCCTAACTCCAATTCCAGGGGATCCAAAGTCCTCTTCTGACCTCCACGGGCATTGCACGACACAGGTGCACTTACATACACACAGGCAATACACTCATATATGCAAAATAAAAATAATATTTAAAAAAATTTTTAAGTGTAAGCAAACATTTTGTGTGTCCATGTGTATGTGTGGGTACACAGCACATGGGTGTGTGTGTGTAAGCCAATGGTCAACATTGGGTGTCTTCCTCTACTTCTCCATCTTAATTTTTAAAATATATTATTTAAAAAAAATTTATGTGTATGGGTGTATAGCCTTCCTATGTGTACATGCACATGTGTTGTGCAATGCCCGAGGAGGTCAGAAGAGGGCATGAGATCCCCTGGAACTGGAGTTACAGACCATTGGGTGCTGGAAATTGAACCTGGGTCCTCTGTAAGAGTGAATGCTCTTAACCACTGAGTCATCTCTCCAGCCCTCCACCTTATTTTTTTGAGACAGGATTTCTCAATGAACCCAGAGCTTACCGATTGGCTAGATCCATCCAGGGATCCATCTGTCTTTACCTCTAGAATCAGACATACGCCCCCATGTCTGGCTTCTGTTGTGGGTGCTGGGGATCTGTACTCAGGTCATGCTTATGCAGCATGCACTTTACCAACTGATCCATCTCCCTAGCTCCTAGAAAATTTATTCTTAATGTTCATCAGAGACCATTTCTAAAGATGTACGATGGGGTTATGTCCCCATATGTTGCAAATGTCATTAATTTAATATGCCAAATCTACTGAATAGTGCTGCTTATCCTGACCCATCTCAAATGTGTTCTACAGAAAGGCACTGAGAGTTGATTGATCATATTACCTAATACTAGGTTGGGGAGAGATCAAAACTGAAAGTATGCTTCTTACTGAATGTATTGAGATTTTTAAACTACAGTCAAAAGATCTTAAGCCAAACTATTCTATATTAGGGAACTGTGTATATTGTGGCTTAGTGTTGAAAGACAGGGACACATTTAGTACCCTTTTATCTTTTTATTTCAAAAGTTCTTTATATAGGTAAGTATAAGGACTTTATATTAAATCCTAAGAAATTAAATATAATCTAAAACACCAGTAAGAACTTGGCTATCTGACAAATTTGAAGTATTGGCCTGCTTGCTTATCTGGCCAGTGTCAGACAGCTGGCTCACTGAAAACTCAAAAGACCAGAGTAGGTAAGATTCTAATGAGTACTTGGATGATTTATGGTCCTGTCTACAGTGTCCCAGATTCATGGTTCTGTCTACAGGTGTTAGACAACCAACCTAGATCCCCAGTACAAAACAAAGGCAGTTGATAGAAGATTAACAAGTTCACAACTATGTTTCAACTTCAATTCCTTGCGAAGTTTGAAACTGACTAATGTCCCTTCCTCCTTGGAATGAGTCTGGTGGTATTAAAATGTGCATTTGACAAGTAATTTTTGAACATCTATTATGCGAAGATACTATGCCATGTTCTGGCTAAGCAGTAATGAGTGAAGCAGGAGCTGGTCCCACTCCTATCTGTAAGCAGAATTTATATACTCACCTGTATATTAGCTGTAAACCAGCTCTAGTTTACCTTTCACATCAGCAGGGTGCTGTGCTACATATCCTGAAAACACAATGCAATTTGGGTCTAATTTTGCTCTGGTGTCCTCCACCCCACCCCACCCCACCCCACCTGCAAAGCTGTTGAGAAGAGAATTAAAGCTACTAGCTTTGTTGGGGGCGGAGGATACAAATAGAAATAAAAGAATACAAACGTGGCTGAATAACTAAGGTCTTTATGTGTACATTACAAACACACTGTTCCCCAAAGTTTTTCAAGTGGCTAGTAACATGACAGGAAAGACTTTGTTTTATTCAGATATGAAGCTTTCTTTAGAGAGAGTGGGTCTATGCTCAGTTTAAAACAGGATTTCTTTGTCTAATCAAGAATAAACCTGGCCCACTGCACAAAGGAAATCAAATGCCTTTGTTTATTTTACCTTTTAAGGCACAGGCTCATACTCTTAATTTAGGAAGTTTCCAACCATAGGTGATGCTACAATTACTACACCAACTCCTGACAATACCTATGACAACCATGCTATTGAAGAAACCAAGAGGTAAAGGTGAAACCAGCT